CCTTCCTTGAAGGCTGCTCCGGTCATATGTTTTGCTTAGGAGTAGCCAATGACAGGCAAGACTGAGGTATTTCTCTGGAAAATCTGTTGTAGAACAGAGGTAAAACAAACCAACAAACAAAACCCCCCACCAGCCGCAGTGTATTGCTATGCTGTAAAATTGTGTGTCTATATAGATGTGTGTGTGTATAAAAACAATCCCTAAGCAAAAAAACCCAAAACCTGTCCTGGTCTTTTATTTGCTACTAAATACTTAAATGGAAAAAGCAACCCTATCACCTCAAAACAAGCAATGAAAGAATGGGAACTAAATTAATGACATTGAAAGCTAGCTACATCAATGATTTCTATGGTCTCATAGTATTTTACAAATTGGTTTCAGTTTCTTCTGTTGTGTCTTTCTGATAAAATATAATTAAACCTGTTTTTAAGCACAGAAGAAATCAGTGGAAATTAACCTTCATCAGTTCTACCTACTGTGGAAATCCACCCCCTCAACCTCCTAAGGTAGTTTCAGTTTATTAGAACCTAAATGTTACATTCAGCTATTTGACATACCACTGTCATCATGTTTCTCCCACGCACCAAGTAAAAAAGTTAACTCTTACTAGTTCTGTGTATTATATGTTTTTGCTTCCATGACAGATACTGTGAGTGGGCTGTCAAGTGGAAAGAAGGAAATATTTCCTAAAAAAACATTTTAGTGGTGGTCGCTTCACAGTATTTAAACTCTTCTGAGAATCTCAACCGTTTTTTGAGATATGCAAAGACAACTTAAGTAGGTGAACTTACACTGAAACATATCTTTAAAGTTGTATTTGGTGCTGTTGACCAGGTTATCCCACTACGGTGCACAAGTTCCTGTGAGTACATCCTTTGGCTTCTAATACTTAGGGGGTGGAGGGGTGGGGTGGGTTCTGTATTGTTGAATGACTTCTAGAATCAAGGAAAAGAAAAAGACAGTGCTCTTTATTTTTTGCTAATAAACTAATTAATTTTTTGCTAATTAACTAAAGTTAAACTAATGCACAGCCTTAACAACTCTTCTTGCACTACGCAGTGGCAAGGCAAGGGGCCTTCATTGTGCTCAGGTCTTGGAGAGAGAATATCTGTTCTTACCAGAGATGGGTAGGCAATGCTCTTCCCATTATTCCTACATATGACCTTTGCAGACATGAGTAAGTTGTGCAGAAATTTCCAGTCATTGTTAGCAGCTGTTTGACACCACTTGAGATTAGTACTGTAGGGACCCTGAGTTTGTGTAGATGGGTGACCTCTTGCTACTGCTATTCTGAGGTCTGTTGCTTACATATAGCTTTGATCAGATGACATCTTTCTTAAAATGCCTGTGGTATTTTATGTACTAATTTTCCCAACATTTCTGTCTCTGGTTACAGTGAACCACTGTTAGCAATAGAGAATTTTCCCTAGTGGGGAATTTTCCAATAATGGGGAAGTTTCCTAAAGAAGTAGGTGGAGTTACATCAACATTTAAGTTCTGCTCTTCAGGCAGATAGTTCTGTTCTTCCTGTCTTCTTCATTTGATTGTGAGGGAAACATACAGCAGCAATACTGAGGACGATTTTGCACAGTGAATAACTTTTTGCTTTTATAAAACTGTTTGCCATAGATGTCAGAAGCCAGCAGGAGGAGAGAAGGGACATTGTGGTAGGTTCTGTAAGAAAATTAGAGAGAAGATTGCAGCTTTGGTAAAGATTTTTGGCATTTAGGTCTAGAGCTGCTTCATCCGATCCAGCCAGGGAATCCTTCTGTGCAGGGTGAAGCAGGAGAAGGGTCTGTAATGGTTATTGCAGCAGGTTTTTTCATGTGCATCTGGATTTGACCTGGACCTACTTTTTTTTTCTCTGAAAGTGAAAAATTGAGTACAGCAGCAGACTTTCTCAGTCTTGAGGAATTTTGTAAGTAATAGTCATACTTCTTTTGTGTGTAGTAAGGCTTGTTTTCTTCTACACTGGGAGAAAGCATGCAAATTAAAGTTAAGCAATTGCAGGATACAAGCATGGGTCTTAGAACCATAAAAGCTTACTTGTTGTCATCAATCTTCCAGAAGTTAATCAGAACACCTCTCCTGGAGTTCATACCGATATTCAGATTTCCTGACAAAAAAAGTGGGTATGGGTTGCATGCATGTGTATGTATATCTTTCCATGACTGTAGTGCACATGCTATTTGTTCCAAGCAGTCTCTCAGCTACAGCCTCTACTTTAAAAAAAGTAGAAAGTATTTTGGGGCTGAATGTGCAACAACTCTGGTCATTCTGGCATGGGGAGTGCAGAGAGGTGCCAACCTATACCCATCAGTCTCAGTGGCTTGCTCTTCAGGCTTGCCTCTAGAGTAAGTGTGATCAGAACACAGTTGTGAGATCAGTATGCATCTATCCTGTTTGAGAAGCTTTACTCCAGAGCTTAGTTGGTGCTCTGGACTGCTTGTTAATCAGGCAGTGGCATCATGATGGAGGCATTCTCATGCACACACATTGCCAGAAACTCTTAGGTTCCAGCAGGATTAGGCAGCAGTTTGCTAGTGCTTTTAAGAACATCACTTTTGGCTAAGGAATGAATTGGGTACCTCACCACATTAAGAAGTCTGGGATTTATTTATCAATGAAACAGATCTTTCACCCTGAGGATCTTATTTGTATTTTCCTATCCCTGTTAGCAGAACATCCTTTTGTAATTGCTCATGCCTGCTTAACAATGTATTCGATTGACTCGCTTTCTCAGCTCCATCTGTGTTGCCTTCTGCAAACCCATTATTAGGATCAGGCAGCAGCAAGCTGAGGAAAAAAGTAGCTTGAATCAAATCCTTACGAGGAGTCTAATTCCCTTTAACACTGTAAAGGCACATGTGTCTTATGATTCAGGGCAATATTGTTACTTTATTATTATCTTAAAGTTGACAACCAAAGACAGACAAAACATCTTACCAAAAATGGTAAGAGTTGCAGTCCAGATAGATAGAATTTCATCAGTTAGGAAGTGTGCGGGGTATTACAGTTGCCTAATTTCTTACACAAATGCTGAAACTACTACAAGAAAACAGTTGAAGGCAATCTTTCCTTACTGTTGTGGCTATTTGGGTATCCAAAATGATGGCTTCTTTTAGATAAAATTCTACAGTTCTCTGTACTCACAAAAGACTTCCACTATAGTGAGTTTGAATTTTTCTTAAGAGTAATTTGAAAAATTATGGCAGTGTTTGATACTAGTATTGCTCTGACTTAAAATGCAGACTTAGCAAGTGCAGTGGGTGTGTGAAGGTTAAGTATGAAGTCACATTAATCAGTGGTTTATAATGTCAAAGTGTTGTGTAGGAAATTTTCTGACAGAAAATTGAGATAATTTACATGTTCAGAGGTAAAGCAGCAGAAATTCAAGAAAATAGATTTTATTTGTAGGCTGGTTTTGTCACTGTTTTACAAATGCACTATTGTGTAAATACACCTTAAGTTATTAATTACTGCATGAATTCTGTTCACAATAGAGGTAACTTCATGAGCCCCATGATAAGTACTGTGAGACCAGGTGTTATAAAACAGGGTATGTTCACAGTATGTTGAAGTAAGGCAAACAGGTGGGTAAGAACTAAGTTCTATTTCTTCCACTGAACACGTATAGAAAACTCCTGAATTCTCTTCCTAGCAGGAGCAACACTCCCTGCTACAGTTTAGAGGGAACAATTGGGTATTGGTGAGTATTTATTTATTAATTGACAGATAGTGATGAAGCATATATTTTGCCATAATGAAGGACAAATGTTTAAAGCAAATAAAATTAGATGTTCTTCCTGGACCCATGCAGGTAGCTTTCTGCCTGATCATCTATGGTAGTTAAAGGTGCAATTTTACCATGTTTTCATCCAGCATGAAATTCAGTGCACTCTGTCCATATCCATATGTGTGGAGTGACTACAAAGTGATTTACACAATGCAAGTTACACTATGAGCAGATATTTATATTTGTCTATTATTTTATCATTTTAGGTTCTATCTACATCATGGAAAAGCCTTTGCTTTTGTATGTATTTTTATTCTACTGGCATTTCCTAAATGGTAAGAAGCTGAGTCGTAAGAAGCAGTAGAACTGTTTAACTTATGTTTCCTTTCCATGTATAAGCACAGAAATGTTAATTCCTCAGTTTTCCTTCAGGTGCTAGCATTTGGGATTTTTTTCTTAATGTTTTAAATAAAAGGGTCTCAACATGCTTTTACATTAAACTAGATATGTGTGCTTAATATGTGCGCTTCGATATGGGGCCAGGTTGAAATCCTTGTCGGCATTTTGGCATAGACACCATTTCAGACAAAGTACCATTTGCATTACACAAAAAGCTTTATTGGCACTGTCAGACCTAGGAATTGTCATGTATTCTTGTGTGTAAAACCAATTGACATTTACAGAACATTCTCACCCAAAGCACTAACAATTGCCTGTAACCGTGGCAGTGTCTGAAAGCAACAGCTGAGGGGCTGTGCACACATTTAGTACAGCAACATGCTGCATGTGTGCACAAAGCAGGTGTCTGCAGGTATAATTAGCCCAGTTTGTCCCAAACTTGGGCAAGTGCATGCAAAAATGTTTAACTTTTCTGTACAGGGCAGACACTTTTGATCCTTAAAATGTCCAATGTATATGGTAAGACATGACTTCAAAGATTAGGCTTATAACTGGAAAAATAAGTTTTCTTCCAAATTTTGTTTTTCAGCTTTATTCACGGTTGAAGCTCCCCAGTCACTCTACATTGTGGAACATGGGAACAATGTGACCATGGAATGCACATTTCCAGTGAATGGGAAATTAAAGTTTACAGATTTAAGCGTCAGCTGGGAAAAGAAAGATGAGTTAAAGAAGCAGGTTTATGTACTTCTCAAAGGAGAGGAAGACGTCAAAAGTCAGCACAGTGACTTTAGGGGAAGAATAAAATTGTTGAAAGAGAATCTGAACTTTGGACAGTCTCTCCTTCAGATCACTGATGTGAAGCTCAGAGATGCAGGGTTTTACCTCTGTGTTATTGGCTACGGGGGAGCTGACTACAAGACAATTAGTCTGAAAGTTAAGGGTGAGTGCGCTGCTGCAGGAGGTTCAGGGATATCTGATACTGTTAAAAGACTTCGGAATTGTCCCTGAAGTAAGACATGTCTGGGTTAGCATTTGAAGAAACCTCCCCAGAGACAGGAGCCGCCTCACGGCCCTTGTGCAGCTGTATAACTTTGTGTTTCTCTCTAGGCTGAATAGGTTGAATGTTCTGTCCTTTATTTTCCATACTGACATATGAGGCATGGTGTTGCACAACCATTTAGACAGGACAAAGACTAGAAAGTTAATGCAATTTTCTAAAGGGTGTCAAAATTGTAATAAATCCTGTACTTCCAGTTACTATGGAGAGACACAATAGTGCTATTTACTTTTCCTGTCAAGAGTATTTACAAAATCCAAGCTGATGTACAGAAACTTGACACAAGGGCTGGGGGGAAAGAAAAGCTGGCTTGCTACTATATGCTATTCTTCTAGCTTACTACTAGTAATATTTTTCTTCTATTTGTTTAGCTCCTTATAGAACTATAACCCAAGGAATTGTGAGTACAGGAGACAATGAATGGAAGCTGACATGTCAGTCAGAAGGATACCCACAAGCTGAAGTGATATGGCAAAACAGAGAATATGAAGATTTGACTGATAAGGCAAGCACAAGTTACGAAACTGGAAGTGACCAGCTCTATCGTGTGACAAGTACCCTTACAATCAAAAGTAGGATTGATGAGATGTTTTACTGTATATTCTGGAATAAAGAGCTGCAAGAAAATACATCTGCCATTTTACACATAGCAGGTAACATTTCTAAATTTCATTTATGGTAATACACTTGAAGGTACTATGTCATTTGGTCCCAATTGAATCAGCCATGATTTGTTTCTCTTTCCTATCTTATTTTGAAGGGCTAAAAAGAGATACCTGTGTTGTTAAGTTTTGCTATTAGTGTACACTTCCACCATACTCACATGTTCATCATGAATGTGTGGATGGAATGCAAGGATCGGAATTTTGCATAACCTACCGTTATGTGAAAATTGAGTCTGAGAGTTAGAAAAAGTTCCATTATTTGAAAAGCATGTAGTTCCAAGCCTAGAAATTAATCCTTCCCACATAAGTTAAACACACCTTCCAAGAATGTTCTGTTTTGCTGATCATAACTGTCAAATAAATTTGAACAATACAGTCTTTTCCTGCCACTACAAACTTTGCTTTGAGTGTATTTAAAGATAAATTGTACACAGATTTTTTCTTTCCTCATAAAGTCTGTATTGAAGGGAGATGCATGAATGGAGAAGAGCAATACCATTTCTCATTAGACCTTTTAACCGGGCACCACCCCTACTGCTTTTGCTTTTGGTTACTGTTTTAATTTCTGCATTGTACCCTGATACGTTTGTGCAACCAAACTGGAGACCTGATCCAACTCAAAAATAGTATTTCTGCTTATTAGACTTACTTGGTCAGGTCATTTCCCTGGTCCTGTTCACCATGCAGTTTTAAAAACACCTGTGCTGGCACACTTTTTGGGACTGAAAAGAGGTGGAAACAGGCACCTGAAAGTGAGAAAATCAAGTCATCCTTTCAAGGAGAGGTGAGCAGGCAAGTTTGGTTTTAACAAGAAATGCCTGTGGGATTCAACAAAGCCACTTAGCCTTTGCCTGGAGAGCTTTACCAGATGAAAGGGACTCTCTGTTCTCTTTCTCAATCAGCTCTTTCCTGTAGTCCTGATGGGAAACTAAGCTAGATGTAATACTTTGTACCTTGGTGACAAACAGGATTTGTGGTGGGAATCAAAGGCACTATCACGTGGAATGCAGGAAGCAAAAATAAATATGAGTATGTTTTATCTTTTTTTTTTTTTTTTCTTTACTGGGATAATGAGATATGGTGAAGTGCATCATCAGCACCTGACCCTAGACACAATCTAAAAATGCTGTTATCATGTCTGAACTGCTCATAGCAAAAATAATATGGTGAAAATGAAAGGAAAAGGGAGAAGTTTATAGAATTATGTAATGTTTTTCCCCTACTTGCTTTTCTCGAAGATTCAGCTGATGGTGTTCTGTGGACTGAGAGCAGACGCTTTGTTGGAGCAATACTCATTGTGACTGCTTTCTTTGGATCAGTGCTTCTATTTGTGCTCTGCATAAGAAAAGGTATTTAACTTACTTTAGTGTATCTCAGTTATTATCAATGTGTTCTGTTAATTCATCCTTACAGAGGTGGAATGACAGAATAAAAGTCTGCCTTAGATCTTTCATCCTGAAACCACTAATTTTTTTACTACATTGTTTATTTCTTTATCTGACTTAGTTAAATACTAGCAAGTTAGTGGAGTGGAACGGGTAGTAAGCCCCTCATAAACCACTTACCCATTCATCTCTATTAATTTTTCTTATAGGTAATGATGTAGAGTGGCAAGATTAGTGTCTAATCTGTTCAAACATCAAAGCACAGCTTATGGCAAAACAGGAAATGGAAGTTTCCTATTTTGTGTCCTCCCTTTTGATTGAGGACTAGCATGCTGGGAGCAGACAGGGCACTGGAGGTTTTTTAGGTTTTTTTCCCTGCATTCTCTGAAAAATTTCACTGAACTGTGAGCACATGTTTTTTAAAGTGATCTAATTGTTATGAATTATACATATATCTTTATTCTGGTGAAAACACCATAAAAATGGTGGATTACACCAAGTGGTATGTCCAACGTTTTGAGTCTGAAAGATTTTTCTTTGCAAGAGGGAATATTCCCATTGTGGCTTCACACCACTTGATTCATTTCCTTGTTACATTTTGAGCTTTTTCAGTTCACTTCACTGACTTGAATTGGACATTTTCAGCATCACAGTATGCTGAAGAGCTAAAGCATTGGTGGTCATTTGTTTTTACTTGCTAGTTAACCAAAGGGAATACTTGGAGAAATAATTTTTAGGGTATCTTAGCATGAAAAGAATACAGTTTGTCCCCCAAATTGAAGAAAAAATGTTTGAAACATGCTGCTTGACCTGAAATAAATACTGTTAAATTTTTTTTTTTTGGTTGGTTGGTTGTGGGGTTTTTTGTTTTTTTTTTGGAGGGAAGGTAGGTGTGTTTGAGGATTTTATATTCAGGGGTATTTTTTACTCTTCATTTGAACAGATATAATAAAGTCATGCAGATCTCAGAACATCCATAGCACTTATTTGAAAATGTCAAAAGGGAAGTGTTTTTGCTGAACATTCTGGGTTTGGCCAGAACTCTTCCTCTGTATAAAAAATATGTGGAATTTTTTAGCTGATGTGTAGCTACTTCTTTTTTTTCCCAAATAACTTTTTAAATTTTTTTTTTTGTCAAGTTGTCTGCAGAAAAAATGTACAAGAGGCATTGAAGCTGATACAGTGCTCTTAGCATTGTAATATCATACTGGCATGACTCTGTAAATTATTACCAGAAATGCTCCAAAAACCTAAACAAGATAGTTGACTAAATGCTCCTCTCAAAATTCTTGAATTTTATAGGAGGTGTAAGTGTGTGTAGCTAGCTTGAAACTCCACTGGAACTAATGCAAAGGCTAGTTGTACTATCTTTTTTGAAGTGGTATCTCAAAACCTTCCACACTAAGAGAGGTGTGCTTTCTGAGGCGGTATAGCAGAACAGTTGGTTTTCCTGTTTGTGAGCTCTCTTTTCCACAGTGAAAACCAGAAACCAGTAACAGCCCTAATTTCTGTCTGGAAATTACACAAAACCATATATAAGCAAGTATGTTCAAGTTCCATAAAATAAATACAAGATAGAACTAAATGTGGATATTGGGTATTTTGGTCAAAACCTCATCTCCTGTGTTGGTGCTATGGAAACATGTCCTGGGAGAAGTGTTCATAAGCTTAACAGGCTTGCAGGTGATGCTTACAGGCTGCAGAAGGCAGAAGGTGTAAGAATATTCTTGCCCTAACTGCATGACAGGAATAGGAGCAGAACATGAAAGTGGAAGAAGGGACAGCAAAATCCTTGACTTCTCAGAAGATTCCCATCTGGGGATTTCAGTGAAGGTCAGAAGTTTCCTGGGTTGCTCATGTAATATTTATTGTTTGTGTGTATACATTATAATGTATATACATGTCATGATGTATGTGATCATCATGATTATGTTATATATGTGTGTGTGTGCCATAAACTACAAGTTGATTCAGAAGCTAAAGTAGTAGCAACAGGTTTTTCTTTTAAAATTCAAGCTGTCTTAGATGACTGGACAAGCGATTCTTTCAGAACGGGACCTCCCTGGCATATGGGCTTTTTTCCCCTCAAAAAAACACTAAGATGATCCCCTTCTTGTTCCCTGTTGCCCAACATGTTCAAATTCTGAGTGAAAATAGATAATGGACAACCATTTGAACACGTATTTTTCAGTGGTGTTATTGTAGAGTATCAATGGAGTACTGGGTTAGGAACAAGGAAAGGAAATTGAAAAGGAAGTTGACAGACAGGGGGCACTGAAGAATATGTTTTAAAGCCTTTGAAGTAATGGAGTGTTTTGAGAAACAATGACTACACTGTGTTAAGTATGCCCTTCCCACAGTGTGCTTAAGCCCCCACTAGATCTAAAGTATTTTGTTTTCTTTTTGATTTTGGTCTCTTATTTTCTTTCAGCTAGAGCAAATAAGGACAACAGAACAGCTGTGGCTAATTCATCAATAGCAAGTATGTACATACAGCATAAATCTAGCTCAGTGTGATGCATGTGCAAATAATTGCTTGAGAATTTGCTTTGTAATGGTGACAGCCAAGTGCAGATTTACATTCCAATTTAATTTTGCTTTCTATTTTTCATTTATGTAACAACTATAAATTACAATTGAAGAGTGACTTTTCATTACTATGTCAACTTCTTGAAAGGAAAATGTGAAAGAAAAGCATACTTGTTCCAGGAGCAGATGCAGTCCTGATATGTACAAGAAAAGGACAGAGTGGTGTGCTGTGTTTTGAAAAGTCTGTAATAGGATGGGACATGCTCTCCGGAACATATACCTTAGGATGGCAGCACATCCTGGTGTGCAGACTCTGTGCTGCAATTTCAGCCATGTTGTATGATCCTGTGTTTTCTCCAGTATTATAGTGTGCATTTGAGGGTCTTTGTCACAACATTGAGGACAGAGGGTTTGGCCCTGTTGAGAGAAACGCAGGAAGAAGCTTTAGCTTCCCTAACAGTTTATTTTTCCTCCTGTTGAGATACTGATGCTATTTGTTATGAGCAATGCTCAGTGAATGGCCAGTACCACCATTACAATGCGAAATGGAGGAAAGTGTGGAGAGACTTAATATTTACAGTGGGAGAGAAGAGATTAGAATCCTTTAACCTCCTCTTATGATGGCTTATGGTTGTTTTGGGGTTGGTTTGGGCTTATTTTTATTTTTTGCATGGTTTTATTTGGAGACCACTTCAAATTATTTCTGTGTGAAATTTAGATCATACTGGCAGGTGGTTTTTTTTCCTAAGAAAACCTCTCTTGACAATACGTGCCCAAAATTGACACAACATTTGGTACTAATCTCTTCTGCTGATCTGCATAAGTCACATAGTTCCTGGCCGGCCTGAGATAGCAGCTTTTAACAAAGATTTATCACGATATGAAAAGTTTAAGTTATGCTGACTGTTATCTGTATGTATGTCATTTGTTTAAAGAGCTGCCAAAAGATAAGGATACATGTGACTGCCGAGATGCTTCTTCTGAAGACAAAGAGCTGAAATGTAAGTTTAAATGATAAAGAGAAAAAAATAGTAGCAAACTGCACACAGCCTAAATTGTCCATGGTCATCAGAGCCTCAATTCACGGTTGGTATATTTAGTCCTTTGTTTTAACAGACAGAGCCTTCAAGAGAAGTACACAGTCCCATTTTCTGTCTTACAAACTCACCATCATAACATTGCATACTAGGAGTTATATCAAATAATTAACATGGTTTTAAAAATAAAAAGAAAAGCCACGCCAAGGAAAATGTGATGCGGAGATATATAACAACCTTAATTAGTCTTTTCTCTAGCTCATACTTTTGCCACAGAAACAGTTGTGGGAGCACAACTGAGGGACTGGTGATGGCAATGGGGAGAGAGACCTTAACCCATCACGACTCAAACAAGTCTCAAGCCATGAGATTCTGACTCAGCAAAGCGAGAAATTAAATGACCAAGTCTCTGAAACATACTGTGGTATGGGACAGAAGGGTGAATTTATTGAGGTTTTCCTTTCACATTCTTACTGACTTTTAAAGCATTTGTATGATTTACGTTCCAAATCCCTCCCTGCTACACTTCGCTGTAGTAACCATAAACAAAGGTAAGCCTGCTGGTCACACAGGTATAAATCCCTAAGCCAAAGAGTTAGGGCCTGGGAATATGATGCTACTGACAGATAGAGTGCTGAATGTATCTGAAAGACTTTAAAAGACGATTTTAAAAGAATGAGGGACTTAAGTGATTTCACTGTATTTACTAAGGAGCACTTCCCACCGGTGTGCTTGAACGACTATTTCATTTCATCCCAGGATCATTTTCTTTTTATATTTGACCTTTTTATTAATTTTATTTTAGATCTTTAATTTTGACAATGAAGGAAATTTTTTTGGTACCTCCAAACTCTAGGAGAGTCCCAAAGCCTTAATATGTTCTGTGACTTCATCATTTTGTAATTTGATAATTTTTTAATATAATTCTTCCTTTTACAGATATGCAAATTGAGGAGACCTAGAGAAAGCAGGGGAAGATTTTTCCTCTGTGGTGAAGGTTTGACAGCTCAGATGTTCTGTGTTCTGTCTATTGAGGGGGATATTAATTTTTTGTTTTTATTCTGTGATGGCACTCTTCTTCCATATCATTGTAACTCAGGAAAAACTGCAATGAAGTTAATAGAATTACGGCATAAAAAGTCCTTGGATTCAGGCTTCTGTATATGTGACTAGGTATGGAGGTATTTATTTAAATATCCAGGTTTCTGCTTTCTCAAGTTTATGCACTTTCAAAACCACATTTCATTCAAAATTTCTTTAAGGTAAAGCACTTTAGATCTATGACCATCATGAATGTCATAGCTAGTTCTTGAATAGGTCATCTTCTAGGCTTTCTTTTTTTTCTTTCATTCTTTCTTTTATTCTCTTTCTTTTTTCCACCTGATCTCTCAGTTCCCAGCAGAGATTTTGTTTTCCAGCTTGTGAAGATTTTTTTCAATACTTTTGTCCTCATAAAGATGCAACAAGATAAGATGCCATACAGACAAGGCATTTTCTGTCCTTACTGTAGATCTTAAAATACCTTACTGTAGCTAAACCTGAAACAGATGCTGTAATCCTCTGGGCAACTATGGTTCAGAAATTATTAGGTAATACTGATCAATAATCTTGATCTCTATCTCTGAAAAGTGTTTTGGGGATTTAATTTCCTTGTGATATACCTGGCACTGCTTGGTTACTGTTCTGATTTGGGGATAATGCAACTCTTCGGACATTGAGGAAGAACAGCTCTATTTGGACTGTCTTTTCGCTCATTTTGGGAACAGAAGAAAGAGAACCTTCTCACTTCTAGGACATGAAATACATGCTCACATAATTACTTAAGCAATGCTGAGGGAACATGCTCCTGGATCCCACTTCTTAAGCTATTGCTTTGTTACATTTTGTTACATGCATAGCTTTTTTTGGGGGGGGGGGTCATACACAGATGAAAATTATTTATTACAGTGCTATTCACAATTATATTTTTTTAATAAAATATGTTTTGTTTTTCTTGTGTTTTTTTCTGCTTTCTTTGACTTGTCAATAAATAGTATTAGCACTACTTGTGCTTTTTCTGGGAAAATCAGGTATCTAAGATTTGGGTGTAGGATAGTGTCTATACCCATGTCATCCTTCTAATGGCTCCCACAAAGAAGAGACAGTGGAGATTTGGAGTCTCATTGGGCTTGGGTTTTATAGAGTTATAGAATGGTTTGGGTTGGAAGGGACCTCAAAGATCATCTAGTTCCAACCCCCCTGCCACGGGCAGGGACACCCTCCACTAGACCAGGTTGCCCAAAGCCCCATCCAACCTGGCCTTGAACACTTCCAGGGATGGGGCATCCACAGCTTCTCTGGGCAACCTGTTCCAGTGCCTCACCACCCTCACAGTAAAGAATTTCTTTCTAACATCTAGTCTAAATCGACCCTCCAGCTTAAACCCATTACCCCTTGTCCTTTAGCCTCCTCTTATGATGGCTTATGGTTGTTTTGGGGTTGGTTTGGTTTTTTTTTTAAATTTGTTGTACGGTTTTATTTGGAGACCACTTCAAATTATTTCTGTATGAAAGTTAGATCATACTGGCATAAATGAGTCTGTTGTGCAGTCCTAAGGATGTGATTGCAGTGCTCAGCCCAGGGCTTTGCTGCTGGTAGTATTCGATCTAGCTAATTGAAAGTTGTGTTTAATACATCTCAACAAGCTCCCCTATGTAGTAGGATAGGGAAATGCATCTCGGAACCATAATGGCATTGGTAGACCTAAGTTAAGTAAAATAGTTACTATAAAGTGATTTCCCTATTTCATTGCAGAGCCTGCATATTCTGATACAGATTCTTGTCATTTGATTCTTCAAGTTCTATGTGAACTTGAACATCCCCTCCTGCTTCCCAAGATGCGTTTTGAGGCCACAGTCCAGGTGTCACTGAAGGTGATGGCCAATTTTTAACTATTCCTGGAGTGCAAGGATGGCTTTGAAAATATTAAGGGCCATTTTTAGAAAAAGCACTGTGTCACCTCAACACACAAATGTAGTTTCATATCACCACATAAATAATTCTCCTTCGAGACAAGCTCTTAATTTTCTACTTCCTCTTTGACGCTGCAACAGCTGTTTGCATATTAAAGTAAAAGTGAAAAGTCTACTCTTTTTAGTTATTATCAACCTTCGCAAGGCATTAGTGCATGTTTAGTCTCATAGAACTGAAGTCGATGTCTTTATCAAGCTCCACTGAACAGAAGAAACTGTTACATTTCTCTTTTCCCCGCTGGAGTAAAGGTAGGTTACTGTTGACAGTGCTGCGTATCAGATGAGTAAGATAATGAAATGAGGGGATATAAATATATTTGTAAATTCTGTAGCTGAACTGTACCATCCAAAATGCCACTACTTGAATTCTGGAGTGGTTGATAGGAAGCTTGAGATTTTGCTACTTCATTAGAAAATTAGGATGTGTAGTGGATAACAGATGATGTGAGAAGACCTGTCCTCTCTGAATAAGCTATACTTTATATTTCTCTGACACCCAAACCAGAACTTGTTTAATCTAATTTTATTATTTTTACAAATTAAGCTTTTAGGATAAATTAAGTCTCTCTGCTTAATTTTTATAAATGCATGGAGACAGGCCCACATGCTCATCTTCAATGCCATGAGTTGTTTTGGCACAATTACTTTTCACTCATGACAGAGGGAAAATATGGACCTGACGGAAAACACAATACATTTAGGTCATGAGAACTAGGTGAGAGGAAATCCTTCCTATCCTAACATAAAAAATGTAGTTAAACACAGTATTTGTAATAATCCTTTTTGCTTCAGTTAACAATTTTTGCATGCTACTTCAGTGTTTTTGGATATCTGGAAAATGAAATCCAGCAGGAAGCTGAAGCAGATTCAGCTTCAGTAAGCTACATTTTGCTTCCTAAGGGCCAAGCATTGTTAGATGCCCAAAAGTGCTCAGAAAAGCTTGGTTCATGTGCACAATCTAAATTGGCTTATTGGTATTTGTGTTCAGGACTCATTCATTTGAAAAATGTAATTATGAACCAGTCTGGTGGCCTGTTTTGTGATTTAATTTAGTAGAATGTGAATGCTATTACTAATAACAATTTGTTGGAAATAACGGAAGATCAGCGAGGAGGATTACAAACATGCTCAAGTGACCTGCAGGTGTAAAAACCCACATCTATCATACTAATTGTTGTTTAGCCTTTGTGTGTTGGACAAGTAGAACATCTGTGTTTAGATAAAGCAGGCCTGTGATAGACTCAGAGGCACCCTATCACACATGCTGGAGATTCCTGCCCTGCTGTGGGAAAAATCAAAGCACAGTGCTAAACTACACCTGCGCGAATCCCTGAAATACAGGTGAAAACAGCAGGTTCGGTGATCTCTAGCATGGGCTGAGCTCCGTGGTGCCTGTGTCCCCGCTTGTGTGCCTCTGCCTGGGTGCTGGTTCAGGGATTCCCCAGTTTGCAAGGTAATGAAAATAAATTTACTCTTTGCATTTCATCAATGGTTTTGTGGTTGTTTCTGCATCCTGCCTGTGCTAACCCCACACAATTACATTAAAGAATAACTAATAATAAGAAAATTAGAATCATTGCTATTGATTTGCAGGGCTTTTCATGGACCAGCATGCAACATGTGTGTCCCTTTTGGCCAAAAAAGTAATTTTAATGTCCCTGAGTGACGTGTACTGATGGTGCATCATCCAAGCATAGGCTAACCAGCAAAATGGCAGAGATGTTAACAGTGGAACTTCTGCTTTTGTAGATGTCAGCAGTGGGACTTCTGGTTTTGCAGCATCTTGTCTCTGATTCTCTGTCTCCCTCTCCATATTTCTCTGGTCTGCAATCTAGTGATTGCCCCAGACAAGTCCCTGCCAGGTACTGCTGGGTTCATGAGATGCCCAACACAGGTCACCACTGACTCTTGGGCAATTGCACTGAGCTTTCTGTCTCCCTGTCCCAAAACAGGAACGCATGAAGAAAACCTATCCAGCCAGAGCTGGATCAGAACGAGTAGAAGATGGTGATGGTGACTGTGAAGTAACTTTGGGGGGAAGGTGGGAAGAGAACAAGGAACACTCTTATTTTCCTTCCAGAAGAAGTCTCAATACCTGCAAGGGAACTAGACACCTAGATGCAGGGGAGGTAGAGATTCCTCAACAAACAAGTGAGGATGTTGTGGATGGAGTAGGCAAGCAAAGAGCTAATCAGAAGAGAAGGAACATAGCAATCATCAAAACAAGGCTTCCCTGAGGACTTTATGCAGGTAGAGGGTCTTCCTTGGCAGGACACTAGTATTCCGCAAAGGCATTTGCTAGGAATTACCATGACTCCAGCTGGGACATCCATCTTTTACAATGTCTCTGGCAAAGGGTTATCTCTTGCCTTTCCCAATTCAAAATGCCTATGGGCTCTGCACAACTTGCATATCATTCATATTTTTCTGCTTTTTTCTTCATTTTGCCGTTAATAAATAATTTTTAAAATGTTACTAATTGCAAGGTGTGCTTGCATAAGTGCTTCTCCCTAAATAGGCTATTTATCTTAGTGGGAGGCCACAGAACAAACAAGGCCTTTGAGAGTTGGTGGCAGCTGGAGGGTGAAGATGGAGTCAAGAGAAACAGTAGGCATAAACATCATTCACGAAGAAGTGCCTTAGGAAGATGTGATTCCCACATTCTCACATACTTTAAAAAAAGAGCACAGATCTCAGTTTGCTGCCATCTTTTCCCCTTTGCTTTTATTGAAAGTGTTAGGACATCAGGCAAACTTGATTTTAATTGTAAATCTTAGGTCAAGCTCAACTCTGCCCCTATGGACTTTTCTCTCTCCTACAAGTGTCCAATATCCAAGCCATTGACTTCTGACAGCTGCCAAAGACATCATGGGAGCTTTTCTGGAAAAAGTTCAGGCTGCCCAGGAATTACTTTATGTGATAAGGCTACACAAGATAAGTTTACTGAGAAA